TGAGGTATATACTTTAAGCTATACACTTAAAGTTACTGCATATGTGTGCGCATGTGTACATTGGGGATCATGAGAATGGGGAAGGAGCCAGAAGGGGAGTCGGGGGTGGAACAACAAAAACAAAAAATGCATAAAAATGTTATAATAAATTATTTTTAATGACAATTCAACATTATTTTGGGACTGAGGAGACTAAGCTCAAATCCCCAACACTCACATAAAAGTCTGGTGTAAGCAAGAATGCCTGAAACTCAGTCATTGAGAGGTTGGAGACAGGAGAGATTTCAGGGACTTACTGACCAACCAGCCTAATCAAAAAGTAGCAAACTCTAGGATCAGTGGAAGACTGTCTCAAGGGAATCCAGCAGAGGGTTAGAGCAGGTCATTAGGACATGGAATAATGTGTATCATACACAGAGATGAGTATGCACCACACATACACAAGCAAGAATTAATTTAATTCTCTGTGTGTGTCTCTCTGTCTGTCTTCTGTCTATGTTTCTCTATCTCTTTGTCTCTCCCTCTCCCTCTCTACCCCCCCCCCAGTTATATGTGTGGATGTATAACCCAGAGGTCAAGGTTAGATGTTTTCCTCAGTCACTCGGGCGTCACTCTTCATCTTATCTTTTGATGCTTGGAGCTTGTTAACTGTCCTTTTACCTCCAAATGCGCATTGTGCCACAGACATGCACACACACACACACACACACACACACACACACACACACACGTGCGCGTGGGGGTGTGGGGGGAGTGGGAGAGAGAGAGAGAGAGAGAGAGAGAGAGAGAGAGAGAGAGAGAGAGAGAGAGAGATATGCAATAAAATACTTTTTAAAGAAAGCGGGGCACTGAAGGGAGCTCTGTTTGCGGTTTCCTGCCTTTTCATCTCTTCAGCCAAGTGAGGATCCAACACATGTACCCTCTGGAGGATGCAGCAGCAGGGTACCATCTTGGAATCAGGAAGTGCGTGAGACACTGCATCTGCCGGCATCTTGATCTTAGATTGCTCAGCCTTCAGAGCTATAAGAAATCGATTTCTGTTCTTTATGAATATCCAGGCTCTGATGTTTTGTTATAGTGGCACAAACAGAATAAGACATGGGGAATTCATTGTTTCACAGGTGCAGAGTTTCCACTTGAAAAAGACAGAGTTCGGGAGCTGAGTAGCTGTGACAGCTGCTCAGAAAGTGAATGTTCTTAATAAAGCTGAGCTATACACTTAAAGATACTGTCATTATGTGTGTGTCACATATACGTATCATATGTATATATGTATGCACACTATCATTTACAAACTATTCTTTATCTTGGCTGCAGAGTGATCCTTTTGTCTTATTTTTATTCTGTTTCTGTACTAGGGTAGAGCAAGGAGAGGAGCCAGACTTTAATAATCAAATATACAGAATCTAAAGTTAGCAACAACTGGAACTTTCTCTCAGGTTGGCGAGTGGGTTCTCTAAGTAGTGACTGTCTAAGTCTCCCTTTGAAAGGCTGTTTTCTGCCCAACGAAGAAAAAGAGATCTCCTGAGGAGTCAGACTCGGCCCACCCTGTGGGAGGTTTGGAAGACGATAATGTAGCAGCTGGTGTGGTAAGGGGGACACAGAATGACAACTATAATAACAACAATGACAAAAAGATTAGAGAACTGCTACCAGAGCCCAGGTGAAACAGGAAACCACACATTTTCTAAACCAAGATCAGCTGCCAAAGATTTCTGGGCAGTTTTTGAGTGGAAGAAGTCAACTTTGGAATGCTGGCATTTCTGGGGCATTGTGATGGATAGACGAGATCGCATATTTAGGACATTATATCTCCCTCCCAAATCTGGAACGCATGATTACTAAAATGAAGGCATTCTGAACATTTCATTCTTAAAAAAATATTTCTGTCTTTACTGTAAGTGGTCTGCTTCCAGGGCTGAGAAGATAGTAGCTGTGGAAATGCTATCTAGCTACATGGGCAAGTGTTTCCCTTGTCACCGGATGTCAGGTGCTGTTGTTTGTATGTGACACCCCAGAGCAACAGAATTGGGAGTGGGAAGTGGGACTTGCTAAGAGGTGATCAGGGCTCTGCCCTTGTGCATGAATTAATGGCACTGTTGTGGGTGGGGGTTAGTCACTGTGAGGGAGGACTTGATATCAAAGTGAACCCCATTTTCCTTTCAACCTTCTTCCCTGGCAAGGATGCATCATAAAAGCCCTTTGTCCTCGCCAGCTACATGCTCTTAGATTTCTCAGCTTTGGGGACTATGAGCCAAATACATCCCCGACCTTTATAAATTATTCAGGTATTGCGGAGTAGCAGCAGCAGCAAACGGACTAGGACCTCAGAGAATGTACAGGTCAAAATCAAGTCCCATTTGTAACAGTTGACAAGCCTTGGGGAGCTGAGGACAGCTCTTGTTCTCCACCCTGACCGAAGCACCCAGTGGTTGGATAAACACCATGACCAAAAGCTGCTTGGGGAGGAAAGGGTTTATTTCATCTTTAGAGCTTAAAATCCATCATTAAGAGCAGTCAGGGAAGTTACTCCAGGCAAGAACCCATACAGAGACGACCATGGAGGAACATGACTTACTGGCTTACCCCCCATGGCTTGCTCAGTCTGTTTTCCTAGACAGCCCAGAACCACATGCCCAGAGGTGGCATTGCCCACAGTAGACTCGGTCTTCCCACATCAATCATTAATTTTAACATAAAAATTGCTCCACAGTCTTGCCTACAGGCCAGCAGTATGATGGAGGTATTTCCTTAGCTGCTGTTCCGTCTTCCCAGACGACTCTCACTTGTGTCAAGTTGACAAAAAACTAACCTGCACAACTGAGCACCAATCATTTTCTCAAGTTATCTGGACATGTCCACTTCATGATCAGAAAAATGTGCCGGTTACCTAGAGCAGTGCTCTATAGAAATCTCTCCCTGGCTATACTCTCTGCAACGTGAAGAATCTGAATATGCAAAGCGTGTGTCAAGTGTGGGCTTTCTGCCTGATACCCTGCCATTCTCTCCATCTTGAAGACTGGCCGATGATGCAAACGCCCTTCTCCTCTGAGCCTTGGCAACACTGTTAAGCAAAGCAAGGACTCTTCAGCGTCTTCCCTCCACCCAAGGAGTCCTCCTTGCCTTACACTGAAACTAGAAGCCTGTTTAATAACTACAGTGGTGCAGGAGGGCAGAGGCAGGCACTGGCTCTCTTAGTCAGAGTCGTTTTTCTGTTGTTGTGGTAAAATACCATAACAAGGACAACTTACAGAAGGGAGGATTTATTTTAGAGGGATAAGAGTTCATTATGGAAGGGATCAGGCTCTCACCCAGCCCTCTGCTCTAGCAGCCATGACAGGCTGCAGAAGACTCAGCAACATGTGCTTGCCTGACCTTGCCCCTCCACCCAGTCACTAGAAGGTCAGATCCCTCCACGTGGCAAGTAACCAATCAAAAGTTAGCTGGTGGGTTTTGGGAGTGCTTAATGGTAAAAGTGATATGCAGAGCATAGCAACAGCCCTGGGAGGGCCTATAGTCCATAACAACCAGTTGACCAATCAACACAGGACAGGTCACCCAAGCCTGGAAGCACACCAATTCTGAGACAGTTTCATATCCCTAGACACTCCCCCACCCCTTGCACACCCCAATAAATTCCCCACCTCACAGTTTCTCCAGGTCCTTCTAACACCACCTGCCATGATAAACAGACGAAGGGCCAGAGTTAAAGACAGTTAACTCATTAAACAATGAAAGATTCTGTTTTTATATCAGAATGGATCTCCTGGTGATTTGGGGGTTCAGAATTTGGGCACCAGAATCCCCATCATGTGAAGAAGATAGCAGCAGACAGGCATGGTGAAGGGAGCAGCAAGCTAAGAGTGTAGCCCTGGCAGTCCTGGAACTAGTTCTATAAACCAGGCTGGCCTCAAACTCACAGAGATCCGTCTGCCTCTGCCTCCCAAGTGCTGGGATTAAAGGTGTGCACCACCAACCCACAAGAGTTCACATCTTAAACTATACGCAGGAGACAGAAAGAGTGAACTGGGATTGGTGGGAGGCTTTAAAACCTCAGAGTTCCCCCCAAATGTCACACTTCTGAGCCAGCTCACAACTCCTAAGCCTCTCCAAACATCATCACCAGTTGGGGGTCCAAGTATCTAAACACCTGAGGATGCAGGGGGCATCTCAGTCAAACCACAACAATTTCTAAATAGTTGCGGTGCCAGGCTGTGCTGCGTCATGTAATATTCAGACAGGACCCTCCTTCCCTGTCTTTATTCAGAGTCTAGCATTTTGCCATTTCATCAGCCCCAAAGGAATTCCCATCTCTTGGCTTTCTGAGTACAGTTCCATTACTGGCTTTCTGAATCATAGCTCCCTTTCTCCCTAATTTGTGATCTCATGCACTAGACCACATTCCTGAATGAAAAATGAGGTTCCCTCAGCATCCATAAAAGTCCCTGTTTAGCCTTGACCCTCACAAGGGCAGGCTCACCCTGCAAGTACAGCTTCCATCACAAGAAGCACAGAGAGCTCTCCTGAGAACTGCAGGGACCCCAGCTAACCCAGGCAACAGCTAACCCAGGCAACAGCTAACCCAGGCAACAGCTAACCCAGGCAACAGCTAACCCAGGCAACAGCTAACCCAGGCAACAGCTAACCCAGGCAACAGCTAACCCAGGCAACAGCTAACCCAGGCAACAGCTAACCCAGGCAACAGGGTGGTTCTGCCTAACTTAGACCTAACCCCAGAAATAGCATGGCTAGGGTCACATCTCAAGAAGGTTTCTATGTCAGCAAGCACACATCACTTAGATTCTACGCATGACACATTTAAAGCAGTCTCCAGACAGACCAACCCGCTATGAGGTTCCATTGGGTGCACCCTTGTACCACAGAAATAATGCGAAAGATATGGGTGGTCCCTGCTTTGTCCTTTATTTCCGAACTGTATTGCAGACCACTTGAAATGACTAAGATTATAAGTGATACTGCTCCTTCAGGATTCCAGGTACCTGGAGGGAGTCTTCCTTTCAGTTTCCTTGAATTCCAAGTCATTGAGCTGTCAACATCCTCTGTGGAAAATGCGGAGAATGCTAGACACTCGGTCCTCTCAGCAAAGGCGTGGAATCTGAAACATGAAAGGTGTTATATAATTGGCACATGCGTATCAATTCTCTCAGTCAATTTGCTGTCTTTGGTGCTCCAAATCTTGATTTTGTTTGTTCGTTTTGTCTTCTCAAGACTGGGTCTCACTATGTTGCCCTGTCCATCCTGAAATTCTAGGCTCAAGCAATCCTCCTGCCTCTATTGCCCAAGTAGCTGGGACTACGGGTATACAACGCTATACCCAATGCCAAGTCTCTACACCTTAACCATATCCTCTGATTTCCCTATACCTTGCCTTGTCAACTCCCACAATCCAAGCCTGGCAGAGGAGATGGCTGGCTCAGTTTGTTGAGCAAGTACGGGGACCTGAGTTCAGATCCCCAGCACCCACGTATAAAGCTAAGGGTGGCAGCATACACCTATGATCCCAGCACTGATGAGATATGGACAGACAGATTTCTGGAGCTTGCTGGTCAGTCAGCCTAACTCAATCAGTAATCTTCAAGTTCAGTGAGAAGCCCTATCACAGAAAATAAGGCGACAAGTAACTAGGAAAAATGCCCAGCATTGACTCTGGCACCCATATTCAGCTACAGACACACACACACACACACACACACACACACACACACACACACACACACACACACACACACACCAGAATGGTTTGGGATTTTATGTGGTGGTTTCGCTACTCATATAGCTCAATACCAAATGGTATTTCTTGATTCTAGGAAAATGATAGTGTTATATTGTCTCTAAGTCTCTATCATATTAACATAGTTTTCATGGCCCAGGCATCAAATGAGGGACCCTGACTAGCAGCCATTAGTGTCGATTGGGGGTACAGCCAGCCTTGACTAATTTGCCTATTGCTGAGTGGCTTCAGTCAACTGTAGCTCAGCAAACACGTACTGCCCCAGGGCTTGAGCTTAAGAGCTAATGAAAAGAATTCCTGTGTGGGCAAGTTTGGGGGAGCCTGCCAACTCAAAGTGTGGTCCGAGGAACAGCAGCAGTGTCGCCTGGGAGCTGGTGAGAGATCTGTAATCCCAGGTTCCTGCCTGGACCTGCCGAGTCAGAATCTAACTTTAATAAGATCCCAAGAGGGTTCATGAGCACTTGAAAGCTTGCAGCTGCTGGTGTGGTACAAGGTGATGGATGGGCTCATCTCTTTCTCTTTCTCTCCCCCGTTTCTGTGCAGTGCTACAACTGGATTACAGGCCCTCACACACGTTAGTCGCACCTTGAGCTACATCATCAGCCCCTAAATTGCACTCCTGAAACTTAGCCTCTGATTCACAAGGAAGTCTCTGGTGATGCTTATCAGCCTCTCCTCACCACTGCTAGTTCAACTCAGGAAATCCTGCTGGACCACTTGGAGTGGACAGACGGACAAATAAAAGTGGGAGTGGTCTCGGCCTCCTGGATTGTGGAAAGACTTATCATTTTCCTAAAGAGTTCCCGGTGAGACTGGCACAGTGACTTGAACAAGACAGCCTCATTCCTGTGGCCTGGAGGCCGGGGCACACAGTGTGGCTATGCCTACCTCCCTACGCACTTTCTAGAGCAGAAATGGCCAGTGCCCCTCCTTTGGTGACCACCTAATAGGGCAAGGTGTGAATGCGGGTTGGGGAGTCATGAGTTCTGTCTTGAGTGTCCTTGAACCCTTAGTGCCAAGGTCTTGGGTGTCTAGAACTTTCTACTCTCTGATCTCTTCTCCAGATTAGAAAAGAGAGCAGGGCAGAAGTTCCTCTAATGGGGTGAGACACAATTATGAAACTTCTTTGGAGAGTATGACTGTACCACAGCACCCACACCGACACTGGTGGTTCTACACAAACATGCCCTTGGCACCTTTGGTTGTGGGAGTGGGGGGGGGAATCAGAGTCCAGCTGGAGAGCCCATAGCCTAAGCAACCAGCACGCTATGCCCAGAAAGACATGCTTGTTTCCTGCTGGGTATTCACGGCCCTCTAGCTGGGCCCAGAAGCCCAGAGCACAAAGGAGCAGCAGAAGGTGTGGTGTGTCTGAGCCCACACTATAACAGGCCGTAGCACTAAGGGCTGTGCACTGGGCTCCCTTGTGAGGGGCCAAAGCACACAGAGGATGGCATACCTCTACCTGACCACTGTATGCAAACCCGCCACCCTGCAATGGACGATCTAAAGTCAGTAAGCAGCTGAGTCAGTGCTGCCTGTGGCATGCTGTTCCCTGGGTGCTGAACGTCCTAGAGAAAGTTCCCCGGGAAATGGGAGGCAAGGATAAGCCAGGGAGGGTCCTGCCAGCATGTCTTCCTACCCCAGAGAGACTGGATGAGGAGCCCCCTTTTACGTATTTGGGGATACTTGGGATCCCAGGGTCAAAACCTTGTGTCTGGTGATTTCAAAGTGTGTGAAGAGTTTCTGGGGTAGTGAGCTCAGATTCTCACAGGTCTTGTTGCACATGAAGAGTCCTGGCCCTCTTGAGACATGGATTCCTGGAGCTGTGGACAAAGATAGCATTTCCACCAACTCTGTTAGGCAAAATGGTGGGTGAAAATATGTGTTTCCGGCTTGCCTTTGGTGTCAATAAAGGCTAAGTCCAGGCCTTAGTATCACTAACAGTTCCCTCTTATTTAACAGCAATAACTTATATGTTTAAAAAAAAGATTGGCTAATGTGAACAATTGCAGTGAGCTGTGGAGTGCAGGGCTATCTCCAGCTGTCCAATATCTGGCCCTAGGGTGTGGAGCTATCTCCAGTCATCCAATATCTGGCCCTGGTGTAATAACTGCCCTGGGCACCCGCGCCTGTAACCTCCAGGCAGTACTTCTATCTCTAGGAATCAGCTGACTGAGAGGGCCCCGAGACATGGAAACAGAAGAACTGGATTGATGTATGATAAAGAAAAGGGTACACAAGCCATGGAGACTGTCCACAAGGACACATGGGGTAAGCATCTAGACTGCAAGTTGTCCACCCACTCTTGAGTCCATCTTCTGCCTACCTGCTGTGGGCCTTGGCACTCAGATCCTTTAGGAAAGCCACAGTTTCTTCTCCTCTGGCATTGAAGGACACTGTGCAGACGGGATATGGGATCTCCAAAACCCTCTGGAGAAGAATCTTCTGGGACTCCTTGGGAACATCCCCCACCACAAAGTAGTAAATGGCTTCGATCTGCAAGACAGAGGCACCAATGACAATGACTTACCACCTGCCATATACTCCAGCCCTGCACTAGACTCATCAGCAACACATTTTCTAATTGCTGAAAAAAAAGAGAGGACAGAAAGAAGTTATGCTTAGTATCTTGTGATGACGTTGAGATGCAAGGCCAGCAAGTGAGTCATTCAGGGTCTTGTGACAGTGGTCGTGGTCCTTGGGTGCTACACAAAGAAGATAGTTGACAAATTTGGAGAGCAGCTGCCCCAGGCCCACAGGGACATAGACAGGAGAGGGAAGGTTTTGGCTCAGCCAGCCACTGAGGGCAGGGAGCAGCCACTGAGGGCAGGGAGCATATGATTATCCACTTCCCCAGGTGGTGCCAGAATTCTACAGCACAAATTCATCCATCGTCAACCTGAGGCAGGATGCAGAAGAGAGGGTGTACCCCAGCTGGTTCATCCTCTGCTCTTGCCACACTAGGGAAACACATGCCTGGGAGATGAGGCCGTCCTGACTTTACACAGCTGGTCAGGAGAAGGATGTGACATCCCCTGCCCACCCCACCCGACCCTGCTCTGCTCCACACAGCCATGCCAGAGTAGAACGCTGAATGGATTGTCCATGTCAGAAGCAATACACACACAAGCATTCCCACATACCATACTCACATGTACCCCACACACCATACCACACCACACCACACACACACACACACACTGCATACATCACACACACAGACACACCACACACCACACCACATACATACATATAATTAACACACACAAGCACTCCCACATACCACACTCACATGTACTCCACGCACCATACCACACCACACACACACACTGCATACATGGCACACACAGATACATCACACACCACACCACATACATACATATAGTTAACATACATACGACATATCATGCATCACACTCACACCAAACACAACATGTGCACTGCATACCACCCAATGCGACACAGACATACACCACATCCCCTATATACCCCAGACCACACACACACACACACACACCATACAACATACTACATACCCACACCATACCCCCATGCACACACACCACACCATACTCAATAGACACATAACACACCATACATTACACACACACAAACCATACTACACATACTATAACCATCCACACCATAATACCACACATACATATATCATCACCACCACACAGACACACAACACACATACTACACATTACACTCAGACACACTGTACACAGACACACACACACACACACCACATACACCACACAAACACACACTACACATACACGTTTTTGTGTTGGTGCACATTAACTATACAAAATCCTGGGTACCTCTACCCTCTCTGTTAGCCTCTCTTATCTTCCCTCTTGTTCCTTGTCCCCTTCCTGTTGTAGATTGGATGTGAAATGTCCCCCATTGACTCATTTGTTTCAGCATGCAGTCCCCAGCTGGTGACAGGGTTTTTGAAAAGTTCTAGAACCATTAGAGGTAGAGCCTTGCTGAGGCAAATGTGTCACTGGAAGCAGGCTTTGAGGTTTCACGGTCCAGTTCTGCTTCCTGTCTGCTGCTTCCTGAGTGCCACAGAGCTCATCACACTCCTGCCACCGTGCCTTCCCCGCAGTGACAGAGTATCCCTTCTTAACCTGCCAGCCAAATAAACCCTTCTTGTTTCCTGTCACAGCAACAGGAAAAGTCACAAATGCACGTCTTCTATGACCACCGCCCCTGAGAAAAGTAACAGATACACCTCTTCTACGACCACAGCCTCAGTTTGAGCATCTGTGAGAGCAAACATGCAAGACTTGGCTTGACTTACTTCCTCGACTACAGTGGCACATCCATATTAATCTAGGGATTCTGGGAAATGCACACTTCACCAGAAATCTTGGCATAATCCAGGGATATGCAAAAGCCTGAAGGAGAAACTGCTGCCGGCCTACCCAAGCCGCAATCGCCCTGACCCCTGTGCCCAGGCCAGCCCTCACAAGCATGTGCACGCACAGCAGGCACTTCCTGGGCCAACCCACCAAGCCTGCCTCAAGGCCCAGAGACTGCTGATGAAGACAGCCAGAAACACCAATGAGGAAAGGACATGCAGCAGAGTCAGCCACCTGAGCCAATGGGACCTTGAGAGGGTGTATAAAGGCAGGTTTAACTTTCTTATAAATGCTTCTGCAGCACGCTCTGCTCCTCCCTGACTCCCAGTGCTTGGTCTTCTCACCCCCTCCCCCAAGGGGTGTCCGAGCGAGCGAGCGAGGTCACCCTCAACAAAAGCCCAAAGGGGCTGTGAGATGTGTCCTCAATGGTACCACTCTTGTTCTTCTCCTGACATGAATGCATGAACCCAGGCAAGAGACAACACAACTCATCCTGCATGGCTTGGTTTTCTACACTTCGCGAATCTATACTCATGCCAATATGTGTATTTTAAAGAAATCTCCGAAAGTACAAATCAAAGCAAGCCAGAAATATAGACCATCTGAACCTGTCCCTCAAAATCACCTTAATTGATCATTTCCACAGAGAACTGGGTAGAGGCCTCTACAAATTTACTGTGTGGGGGTGAAAAACAGGCTTCTTAGGCCCATGGTTTATTTATGCTTTAATCTCAAATCCTTATAATCTGAAGCTAGCCAATGTGTTTCCGCCTTAACTTTGAACCTGGTAGAGAGGGGATAGACTCATGACTGGTTGCCCAGTTGGTTAAGAGCCTATGTCTGTAGCAAAAAAAAAAAAAAAAAAAAAAAAAAAAAGAGCATACTAAGCGTCTGAGGGGGCAAGTAGAACAGGGGTAGCCAAGGACCCAGGCTGGGAGTTAGATGGCCAAGGTGAGAACCCAGATTGGACAATGCCAGCCACTACCTCCACCACAGGCACAGAAAAGCCCTGCTCCCTCCCATGCCTCTTTCTATCCAGTCTGTCAACACTAGCTCCAGATTTTTAAAAAAAGTAACCTCTAAGAAACAAAGCCCGATGAATGTGGTACATCTCCCACCAACCACCCAGCAGGCAGGAAAAAAAAATCTATGAAACAGCCTTCCATGAAGTGTCAAGTTGACTAGATTGTGTTTTCCAGCAAATGCTTCCCAGGCCATTCCGCTTCCTGGTGTGTGACACAGGCCTTGTGCCGGGTGTGCAAGCGAGGCACTGTCACTCACAAGTGTTTTCCCGTTACCTCTGTGCCCAAGTCTAATGTAGGAATAATCTCTCAAAGGCATCGGAAATGACACATGGCCCAAGACAGGGAACAGACACGGCATCTCCCAGGGTCTGTGAGAGCAAAAGGAAGATAAGGACCTAGAGATGGGGAGGGTTGTACTAGCAGTCTCGGGCAGGATGCTTCACTGCTTCTGGCAATGGCCCAAGAAAAAGAAGCTCTCATGCAGAGATGTTATTCCCTTGAGATGTCATTGAACTGAAAATTGCTTTTACCGCACTGAGGTGTTCAGCCTCTTTGGAGTGAGCCAAAAGCTCCTGCCATTTATTTCCCATAAAATTGAGTGGTAAGGTCTGGGGAGATGGTTCAACCCATAAAGCACTTGAAGCTCAAGCATGAGGACCTGAATTAGATCCCCAGGACTCTTGCAGAAGTCAGGCTCAGTGAGTGGTGAGTGTCTATAATCCCAGTGCTTGGGATACAGACCAGCGGGACCCACGGGGCTCACTGGGCAGATAGGCTATCATAGAGCTCCCGGTCCAGCCAGAGAGCCTGTCTCAAAAGGAAAGGTGGAGAGCAGTTGAGGAAGATCTCTGACATCTGAAGACCTCGGGCCTTCATAGAAATTTACACATGTGTAACCCCTTCACCATGCACACGTGTGTGCACTCACTCATGCACATCCACACACACACACACACACACATGTGTACACACACACATAATTAGACAATTAGAAGGACACCCTTATGTCCTGTGTCAGTCTGGACCATTACATGGTAACCTGCATTCTGCCCAGACAAAAAGATCTAGGCATCTTCCTGGCATCGGCTTTGGAAGGAAGAAAAGAAACGGACAGCGAGTGGGCACTTCTACTCCAGCTACCCACTCTGCCACCAGTCCAAGCCAGCTCTCATCCCAGAGCCTCCCGCATAAAGTCTTCCCTCTTCAAGAAGCAAAATGGAGAGCAGCCCAAAGCACAGTAAGGAGGCTGGCAAAGACTCTGCCTCTCTTTTCATATGGCGAAATACTGCAGCGTTGTAAACCAACTCCATACCTGGGGCTCTAACTCCTGGTCCTCCCCATAGCTCTGACAGCCTTCCCATCTTTGAAACATTTTTATTTTCTGGTTTTCTTCATGGTGATGATTCCTCCTTATGGTCAGTGTTGGCATCAGTTCTCGTTGGCTTTTTAGATCCCTCCTAATACCCTGGACCATCACTGACTATCTCCCTTCCAGGCTTTAAGGTCTATGTTCCACCCATTATCCCCACCAGAGTCCTATAAGGCTTAGCAAATTCACCTGCCTAGCCCAGCACCATCCATATCTCTTTGGTTGAAAAAACAAACAAAACTCAATTCTATGCCATGTGTCCAGGACCAGAACCCACCGGACCTACACTTAGGCCCCAAACTCAACCATATTGACAGTATTTCCGTCCTTTCCGTTCCTTCAATGTCCAATATATCTTTCAAGAGCCCTGATTTAGGCATCAAGGGACACAATGAAAAATGTTTAGACCTGTCTAAACTGTTCCAAGGAAACAAATGAGGTGTCCGTTTTACAGACTGACAGTCTGGCAATCAGCAGGGCAGGCCCCTTCATGGGATTGGGAGATTCTATCTTTAATTCATTCACTTAGTCTCCCTGTGAATATGATTTAAAAAAAAACAACTATCTAAATGTGTGCCTACTAGGCACATGAAGGAAGGAGTGAGATAAAAACAGAAAGCCAGGCATCCCGTGGGGCAGATGGCCTTCTGAAAGCATGAAGGAAACTCCTCAGATAGCTTTCATGGGTGACCAAGGACCAGGACTCTGCTGAATATCCCTTTCTTTCCCAAAGACCCTTCAAGCACTGTGTCTGCAGGTTCCCAGGGCCTGCTGGTACCATGGAAACCCTGTGCTGGTCAGCACAGCTGGGCTCCGAGGACCCTAGTCCTCACCTGCCAAGCACTATCTCAATAGCTCACAGGCTGCCCTTCCCACAAGCCAGGTCCTTCTGCACAGGATACAGTGTGCCCTGCAACTGTTAGTATTGAAGACATGACTTAAAAAGACCCCTCACACTCTACCTGGGCTCCTCTTAGACCCCATCCATGCTCACTTCCCCCTTCTTGTTCTTTCTTCTAGGTGACTACGTCCAGTACTGAATGAACCCATGGTCTCCTCCACAGATGGGCTTCATATAATATAGGTTTCCCTGTTAATTTTGGGGTATTAATATCTATGACTTTCAGGGCCCGTGGTTGGAACAAAACAACCCAAAGCAGGTTGTCATCAGTAGGAAAAATCCAGGTGGATATAGTCACTATTCCAAAAGTAGCTTGACATTTAAGTCTTTTCTATTCCTAGCAGACTACATGGATAAATTGAAATTCTGTGGGATGGTCATGAGGGACATGGAGCAGAGGAGTGGGCCCTTAGAAAAACCAATCTACCCCACCATAATTTTTCACTCTTCCAAGACACAGAGCCTGGCATTTTCTAATACACAATACAGCTATGTTCTCTAGGGGTTCCTTGAGATCACCCACAGATAGGGCTATTGGTGAAGGACTTCTGTGGTTTGTATACACTTTGAATTTGCTCTAGTTTGCAGGTTGAATGTGATGGCCAGTACCTTTCTTGATTCTTCTTCTATAGAACACCCCTAGCACTCACTAGGTTGTTCATATTTTCTAAAGTGGGGATGAAGCCAGGGGAGATAGAGGAAAGCAAACTCATCTGGAGATTGGAGTCATATCAGATGGCCAGAGTCAGCAATGATCAATACAGCCAAGTCCACAAAGAAAGAGCAAGTTCATGTGCACACACACGCAAACACACACATGCACAAGTGCACACACACACACACACACACACACACACACGCATGCACGCATATCCAAAGCCTGGGATACATTCTATTTTGATCCAGACACTTGGAATTTTGCAGATGTTGAAACAGACTTGAAGAAACCAAAGAACACAGTGATTTGTATCTGGTTCTTCTTTAATGGAAAGCATGTGTTCAGCTGGCTTTGTGAGGGCAGAAAAACGTGTTCCCATTTCAAACCATCACCTTAGTGTCGATAAACATGGGCTGGTGGCCAATGGGGCTGTGCCAGCATGCACACATTTATTTATTTGGAAAGAAAGAACTCCTGGATCCAGCTACATAAAGACTGAACTCAACAGAGACTCCTGTCTTCCAGAATAGAGGAAGCGAGTATTCAGCATCTATATCTCAAAGACAAGCAGACCTCCATCTCCCACTCTGGAGGAATTGAAACTGGCTAAGGAATCCCTCCCACCCAGAGAAATCCCTTGCCCTTGTATCAGTCTCTTAAAAAGTTCCATCTCCACAGTCACTCAAAGAAACATGCCTCATGGCAGAAGGAGACACCAGGCACTACCTCTTGTCTCAGGAGAAGTTTTATTATTAAAGGTGCCAATCAAAAATCATGTGTCGGGGCTGGAGAGATGGCTCAGAGGTTAAGAGCACTGACTGCTCTTCCAGAGGTCTTGAGTTCAATTCCCAGCCACCACATGGTGGCTCACAACCATCTACAATTCAATCTGGTGTATATGTAATAAATAAATAAATCTTTAAAAAAAAACCATGTGTCAGTACATCAGAATGCATGATAGGTTCTGTCTTGGTTTTATTTCTGTTGCTGTGATAAGTATCTTGACAAAGAACAACTTCGATGAGAAATTCATTCATCTGAGCTCACAGTTCCTGGTTTTAGTCCATCACTGCAAGGAAGTCATGGTGATGACAGAGCTTGAAGTAGCTGATCACATGGCATCCACAGTAAGAGCAGAGGCAAATGCATGTGTGCATGCTGTCTGACTTGTGCTCAACTCGTTTACTCTACTCTTACGTAGTTCAGGCCTCCTAACTAGGCACTGTCACTGCCCATAGTGAGCTGGGTCTTCCCACGTCAACTAAGACAACCCCACACAGACATGCCCACAAGCCCAACCCAGGGTAGACTATTCCTCATGGAGACTCTCTTCTCAGGTGGTTCTGTGTTGTGTCAAGTTGACCAACCATCATACGAGGCTCATCCGCTTAGATACACATAATAGATCCATCCATGAAGAGAAGGAACTGGGAAAGAGCCAGAACCTGGATGCTGGGGAAAGCCAATTTCCTTGTTCTCAAGATTCCCTCCATGTCCTATAAGATAGAGACTCATTTCTCTAATTAGCAGGAGGGCAATAATAGAACTAACATGTTAGAGATACATGGCCTGGTCACACCCCTGTGTGTTTCCTTCAAACTAGCTACGTAAAGTTCTATCCTGAGGCCATAAAGGCCCCACAGTGAAGCTTGGGTAGACTCACTGGATAAGTATATGGGCCCTGTTTGGTTTTTCCAACTCTGCCATCACCAAAACTTTCACTTTGATCCCTACCTGAAACCTGGAACCTGCTTCTTCCACTGGCTGTGGATTTGGGGGTGAACAGGATTATGCTTTGGGGACCATGCTGGTTACTTTTGTCAACTTGTCACCATCTGGAATCAGCTGAAAAACTGCTCATTGAAGGATTACCCAGATCTGATTGGCCTGCGGGCATCTCTGTGGTAGACTGCTTTCATTGCATTAATTTATATAGGAAGACCCAGCTAAATGTGAGCAGGATCATCCTCCAGGTTTGGGTCCTGGGCTATATAAAAGAGAAGATGATTAAGAATCATTGTGGTGGCAGCTTCTTCTTCTTCTTCCTCTTCTTCTTCTTCCTCCTCCTCCTCCTCTTCTTCCTCCTCTTCCTCTTTCTCTTCTTCTTCTCCCTCCTCCTCCTCCTCCTCCTCTTCTTCCTCCTCTTCCTCCTCCTCTTCCTCTTTCTCTTCTTCTCCCTCCTCCTCCTCTTCTCCCTCCTCCTCCTCCTCCTCCTCCTCCTCCTCCTCTTCCTCTTCCTCTTCCTCTTCCTCTTCCTCTTCCTCTTCTTCTTCTTCTTCTTCTTCTTCTTCTCTTCCTCCTCCTCCTCCTTCTTCTTCATTGAGGGTTCTTCTTCTTCCTCTCTCTCCCTCCCTCCCTCCATCCCTCCCTTCCTCCCTCCCTTCCCCCTTGACTTTGGGTACAACACGACCAGCTCCTTCAAACTCCTACTGCTTTGACACCCCCCCACACATAAGGACTGTAATCTGGAACTATGAGCAAAAATAAACCATTTCTCCCCAAAATTGCTTTTGTTGGGGTACATTATCATAGCAACTGGACAGGAAACTAGGCAGATACTCTCAGTGACAATGCTAGGGTTTCCATGAGAAGCATTTAGAGTGAGGCCCAGATCAGCAGTGTGAAGACATTGCATGTATCCAGTTAAGCTTAAAGCCCCATGGGTACACACTTACAGTTTCATCTTTCCCAGCTTCCAGCAGAGCATCCAGGCAGCTAACCTCTCTCACAGATGTTGGCTCAAAAACTATTTTCTCAACCCAGCTGATGGCAGCAGCAATGGATTGTTCAGTCACAGAGATAGCATACTCTTGCCATTTCACTGGCTCTTCAGAAGCCCTGAAAAGAATCATATGTAGCAGTCACCAGACTGTGGCTAATGCTACCACAAAAGTGTCAGCCTTTGGTGTCAACCAAAAGTTACCTCAGTGAGAAAGAAAACCAAACTACCAGTCCCCTGAAAGCTACTGTGAAAATACATGAGCCAGTTTGGACACACCTGTCTTGCTCAGGAAAGCATGCTGAGTGTAATTTGTGATTTCAAAGCACAAATCACTATGACCTCCCACAGGCACAGTGACCAGGAGACAAGACTGGGGTGATGTGGGAACAAACAAAAAGGTACAAGTTTTAACTAGAGCTTTAAAAATATTAAGAGAGGGGCTGAGGAGATGGCCACTTTGTGAGATGCCTGCTGGGTAAGCATGACAACCAAAGTTTGGTTCTTTAGCACCCGCATAAAATGACAGTATGTCATCATACACTGCAATCCCAAAAGTAGACAGGCAGAGCCTGGAGGATCCCTGGGGCCTGCTGGCCGTCCAGCCTAGCCAATTGGAGAGCTCCAGGTTCCATGGAAGACTGTCTCAAAGGGGTGGGGGGAATAAGGTAAAGAGTTGTTGTGGAATATTAGTTGAAGACATGTTAAATTCATTTATGCTGTGAAATATTTGTTTGATGATGTGATTTTTTTTATGTTGAGTTTGTTTAACTCTATGATGCTGTGTTACTTTGCCTGCCTAAAACACCTGATTGGTCTAATAAAGAGCTGAATGGCCAATAGCTAGGCAGGAAAGGGTAGGTGGCGCTGCCAGGCAAAGGGAATAAATAGGAGAAAGAGAGAAGGGAGCAAGAAAAGGAGGAGAGGAGGATGCAAAGGGCCAGCCACCCAGCTACACAGCCGGACACGGAATGAGAAGGAAAGAAAAGATATACAGAAATAGAGAAAAATAAAAGCCCAGAGGCAAAAGGTAAACGGGGTAACTTAAGTTAAGAAAAACTGTCTAGAAATAAGCCAAGCTAAGTCTTGGCATTTATAAGAAAGAATAAGCCTCCATGTGTTTATTTGGGAGCTGGGTGATGGGTGCCCAAAAAACAGCAAAGAGTAAAAAACAACAACAACAAAGTGTGATTTAAAAAGACACCTCTAGCCTCCACATAGCTGCATACACATGCACACACAGAGACTCATGTACAAATCCACACATAAATACTAGGAGAAATTATTTTCATAAACAGGCAGGATGTATGAAACTGTGTCTATAAACAACAGATTCATAACAAACTTACAGTATTACAGTTTATGAGTTGGTGGCAACTTATTGGTTTATTTTAAATATTTTATTTATTTATTATGTATACAGTCTTCTGCCTGCATGCCAGCAGAGGGCACCAGATCCCATTCAAGGTGGTTGTGAGCCACCATGTGGTTGCTGGGAATTGAACTCAGGAACACAGTCAGTGCTCTTAACCACTGAGCCATCTCTCCAGCCTTGCAACTTATTGTTTTAAGATTCATTCCCAGTGACACTGTTGTCATTGTCCTAGCAGAGTCCCACCAGCTCTCCTTTCTGGATCAATAAAGTACTACTTTAAGTTCAGCAGAACGTATATTTTTAAATTCTGAGAACATTTGTTTAAACCATTTATTTAGGGTTTAGCAATGACTGGAGGGCATACTCACCTCAAAGGGAGGAACCGTTTGAATGTACCCATGTTTATAATGTCAAGTAAATTGGCTTGGCTGTTGCTAATGGCCTGTTGCCACAGCAGGTGCTGCTTCATACCTGTGTCCCCTTGGTGGAACTTCTCTGGGTTGAGAGATCTGACTAAGCAGCACATTTGCTATGGGAAACAGTCTGAGAAAGTGAAGGCTCTGTGTACATCAGCACTCAAGTCCCTCAATAACATACCTGTGTCAAAAGTCAAGATCTGGACCAGAACCACCTGCAAGGGTGCCCTCTATTTAGATAAAAGTGCATTACTCAATAGAGAAAAACTCAATTAGGCACATTTCTCTCCACCCTCTTATCCAGATGTTTCTTGTCAAGGAGGTGAAAGCACTGACTTGGCTGAGAAGTTAGCACTGAGACCCACATTCCTGTGGCTCCAAGAATCCATAAATAATCAGTCAAGAAAACTCTAAAATAAGTGAAATTCTAGAAAGGCAACCACCTGCTGTTCCGATTAAAGGGGGTTTAAACTCATAAGAGAGGTCAATGTGTGTCACAAATTCAGTCTGGAAAAGAGCACAAAAGCTGTGGCCTTTAATCATGTTATCCAATCTGAAATGAGACTCACACCTTCAATACCAGCACACACATATACATATATCATATGACTACATAATTCATAGTCTCATATTTTGGCCTGCTGGTGGACTGAAGAACAGCAAGTTTCTAAGTCTATCTTAACATGAAACCTAAGGTGCCCTGAGAAAAACAGATAAAGGTTCCCTAAGATTTATTATTTATCGTGGGTTTCCTGCTGAAATGGTATATTCTACGGAATTATGATAATCCTCTTCCCTTGCCATCAGGCTAACTGTGTTAGCTCTGCTACTTAATTCTGAATATGTGCAAGTCGGTGTGAAGTTTCAGTAAGACGAATGTTTACACTGGGAACTCACCATATCATGTTGAACTTGGTGATGAGAGCCACTTGCTCCTGGAGGACCATTGTCAGAGCATCCTGGCACAGATTGAGCTCCTCCATCAGAACGTCCCTGAAATCCAGAACTATGGTGACCCTCTGTTCCAAGATGACACCAAAAATCTGCCGGCTCCTGCTGGTAAGCCAGTCCATCCGCTGCTTATAACTCTGCACAGCTTGTGTCAAATAATCCACAAACTGGTAGATCAGCTCTGACTTTGCTGTCAGCTGAATGGAAATAAGAATGGGAAAAAAAGTAACAATAAGACAGTAGCAAAATAAGCAGTTAGAACTGCAGTCACAGTAGTGCAGCTGGAGCCATGCTACTAGAAAGATTCTATAAGTGGTCTTCAAAACCCACAGGATCCGGGAAGGAGATTCTAGCCTCTCAGAAAGATAATTCGATCTCTTCAAACTGCAATGAAAAAAAAAAAAAAAGGTTTCCAGAGATATAAACAGTTGTTTTTTAAAGTCTCACTAAAACGTTTTCCTGTGTAAGACACTGCAACATATTTCCGCAAACATCTCCAATTCCTGGTAAGAGCATGCCGCTCAATTACACATTCCAAAGATCTTAACTCTTGTCGCTCTGCTCTCTCTCTCCTGTGCCAACCTCACCTGGACCTGAGTCACCCGGCTACTCACAGCCACCACTGACATCTTCGGGATCCCCCAAAGGTGACAGAGATTAGCAGGCAACTTCTTGTATGTATGCATCCTTCAAGCAGATCAGGCCCGCAGACCTGGCACAATCTGCAAGGCACTTTAAAGCAAAGAGGTAGACAGCAGAAAAGGAGAACGGAAAAGTTGTAGCCTGCACTGTGAGAAACCAAAGTTTAAAAGATCTGATAAAGTCCTCCTCGTACCCCATCTACTTCTCTCTCTTCGTCTCCCTTGAGCTGGCTCCATTTCTCTGCAGCATCCTAGCGCTGTTCGTGCATGTTCAGTGCTCTTCCACTAAGCCACGCCCCCAACCCTCTACTACAGCTCATTTCCTGTTTTAAGACCTCACCAGCTTCCAGCTTCCGGGACCTGTGTTTCCTCAGCTATGGGGAGGGAGGGGACTAGCTTTGCTCATCTTATTGGTATAACGGCCTTTTTTTCCCATGATGCAGTTGCCATTGAGTCCCTCATGTTCCTTCAGATAACCCCAATAGAGTCCCCGGTTCTCTAAGCCAGACTTGGAAGGAGCCCTTCCTTCCATCTGTCGTCGATGCCCTGTCTGGGGTTAAACATGTTTGTTCACATCCCCTAAGAAGAGTCACAGCGCAGAAAGATCTTAGGGGATGTGGCGGTAGGTTTATGTGGACAAAGACATCTGTTCTACTGCTTAGTGGCAGTTTTAATGTGCCAGTTAAAAACAGCTCTAGTGAACCAAACAGAAGGGCAATTTTAAAATATTAAATACAGGCAGCCCTCCCTATCCACGGGGTCAATATTCTCAGATTCAGCCAACCTAGGGTGGAAAATATTAAAAAATAAACTGCATGGATGCTATGGACAGGTTTTTTTATTGTTATTATACCCTAAACAATATGATGTAAGGTGTATCCTCACAGCATTTATATTGTGTTGGATATTATAAGACATCTAGAGATAACTTAAGGTATAAAAGAGAATGGAATAGGCTTTAAGCAAATGCCGTGTTCTGCCATAACCAAATTTAGCATGCTGGATTCAGCTGTGATTGTGATGAGTCACAATCAGTTGAGGATTGTGATGAATATTCGTTGTCTACTTTGACTAGATCTGGAATCACTCCTGTGAGGGATTTTCTTGATTGGATAATAAAGATGGGAAGACTTGTCCTAAATCTGGGTCACACCTTCTGGTAGCAGCCCACATGAGAGGACAGGAAAGAGAGAGACCTTTTTAGTTTTCTTTCTGCCTGTTTGCCCCACTCTCTCACTGGCAAGTTCATTTATCCTGCTGCCGAGGCACACCTTTGCTGGTGGTAGGGCTTACTTCTTCAGGATTCCACTGTAGACTAAAGGCCAGCAGCTCCTAGGAATTACCCCAAGACTCCAGCACCCAGCAGGGACTGCTTAGACATCTAATCCCATAGACCAAACAACTACAAATTCTTGGCCTTTCCCTCTGGAAGTAGTCATTGTTGGACCAGCTGGATCAGTCTGTGAGCCACTGAAATAAGTCCCCCTTTAGTATATATATTCTTTCTACATATCCTATTCCTTTAGACAACCTTGACTAACCCAGGGGTCCTGGGAGGGCCTCTGTGGATTCCAAGAGATGACAGTATTATGAAACAACAGTCCCAGTGGCACACGGATGTACCTTGACATACATGGACAGGATGAAGCATGTGTCTCCAAAAAGACCGTGAACTCCAGTTGGGGGTCCTACTATGGTATGTGTGAACTCTCAGAGTATAGGGCTCCACTTTCCTGGTCCTGCATTGGGTTAAGTTCAGAGAATACTGTCATATTGTTTTTTCTTCACCCTCTTTTTCAAGGTAAGACAAAGTGCTGGTATGTAATCAGGAGTTGATGGTCAAGTATCTGATCAAGAGCTTCCTGCTCTCATCTCTTTTAGGCCATAGGCTAACCACAACTTCCTCATTCTACACTGCCCAGAGAAAACCTGAAGCCGAATCTCCATAACCCTGGGATCTTTTTTGTTTGTTCATTTGTTTTGTTTTGTTTTCCTGTATGTAGCCCTGGCTATCTTGGGACTTGCTCTGGAGACCAGGCTGGCCTTGAACTCACAGAGATCAGCCTGCCTCTACCGACTGAGTGCTGGGATTAAAGGCATGCACCACCTGACTGCTCCCCCACCCCATTTCCTTCCCTGGGATCTTAATGTGACTACAACCTCTTTCCACGAGACCTGACCACTGAGGGAACACTGACTTACGTTGTAAAGCCTGCCATCTTCTGCTGTGTAGAACTGTGGGAACAGGCCATCAGCATACCGAGAAGCCACGAGTCTCCTCAAAGAAGTCACATAATCTGCATTCGTATAAAGGCAATCAAGATGGTGTATCAGCAAAGCTTCTTATGCTTATTTTCAAACATTTTCCCAATAACCTTTGATTTTATGTTGTGTCCCAAGTTATAAAGTCTTTCTAAGAACTACAACAAATCCAAGTGCCCATGGCATGTAGAATCTTCAAAGTCATGAATGGGCAGGGAGGAAGAATGGGCTCCATTTTCTAGTTCTTCTGTTGTGGGGTATTCACCAGAGAAGGTTGTTCAGGTGTGGGTTTAGCCAGCCTGTGACCACACTAGGTGCTTGGGATCCCAGTGTAGCCCCAAGCCTTTCTCAGGGTGAGCTTCTAAACCATGTTCTGGGTTGACATACTTCAGTTAGCAAGAACAGTTAGCCAGAAGCAGAATTACAGGAGCCAAAAGCAAGGCTAGTACACTTAGAGACTTTCCCAGAACTATAGACCTTGATGGATTAGGTCCTTGTTTTCATTTTTGGCAGGTGGTGCTGTCTACACTCTGAGTTTTACAGCCGGAATGGCATCTCCACCATGGAGTCAGTTGTGCTAAGGTCTGGGCGCCTACTAATGTCTGGAGCCCTGTTACATTCTTCTCTAGGATAATTAAGGCAGAGATCAAAATCACAACATGAAAATTGTGCTTAATGCCTGAAATTTTACCGAAGGCTTGTACTTAATTTACAAAACTTGAAAAACAAAAATTCCAGGCATGGTAACTCATTCTTTCAATCCTGATACTTGGGAGGTAGAAGTAGGAAAATGAGCTCAGAGTCAGCCTGAGTTAAATACATATTAGACTGTCTCAATAAACCAGAACTAGGGCATGCACATGTACACATGTAAGCACATGGGAGCATGTACACTACACAAGCACACTCCACTACACACATACACACACACAAATAAAAATTCCAAGATGAAAGGTTGTTTCTTTGACCAAAGATAATGAGCAAATGTAAAAACTCAACTTAGGTACTTCCTACTGCTCAAGCGTTGATTCATGACTTAGTCAGATGAAGTGAGCAAGTAATTGATCCAGGAGAGCCAAGCATGATGCCGTAACCACGAGATTTGGCTGAGGCTCCAGAGGTCTATGGAAGTCCCGGTAGCTGGGTGAAATGCACACCAAGTTCTGCATGGAGGGACTACTGAATGCTCTACCTAGCACCCTCTGTCAGAGGTAATGCATACTGGACGGAAATTCAGTGTTGCCTAAAATGCATGCTTAATCCTTCCCAGAATTGCCAGTGGACCACAGAGCCTCTCAGGATGAACCTGAGGGTGGGGCAAGACTTCTCAGAGACATCCTTATGATAATGATGATGTCACTAAAGTTGTTGTGGATCAACCCCAGAGACAGTGTTCTTGACTCTAGCACTGCCTTTGCCCTGACTCTAGGGAGTTCCCTATCTCTACTTCCTCACCACTAAGGTGAGGGGGGTACTGGTCATCCAAACCCAGGGATTCCCAGCTCTGAAGAGGCAGGGAATAAGCCTCCTTAGAAAGGAAGAAAGGAGGGTCTCTTGGTTAGTTTTTTGTCAGCTTAACACAAGCTAGAGTCATCTGAGAGAAGGAACTTGCTTCACTTGAGAAAATGTGCCCAATCCTGTAGGCAAGCCTGTAAGGTATTTTTCTTGATTGACATTTAATATGGAAGAGTCCAGTCCACTGTGTGTGTGTGTGTGGTGCAAGGGGAGTGCCATCCCTGGGCAGGTGGTTCTAGGGTGTGTATAAGAAAGCAGGCTGGGCAAGCTATGAGGAACAGGCCAGTAAGTAGCTCTCCTCTGGTTCCTGACTCCAAGTTCTTGCCCATCTTGACTGGCTATCTTGGCTTCTATGCTAGTTAACTTTTTATTACTGTGAAAAAACACCATTACCAAGGCAATTTACAGAAGGAAGAGTTTATTTCGGCTTAGGGTTCCATAGTGGCAGGGAATTGGGGCATGGCAGAAATGGTGACAGGAACGGGTGAGAGCTCACCTCTCAACTTGCAAGCAGGAAGCAACGAAAGCAAACTGAAGTTGCAAGAAGCTTTGAAACCACAGTGATGCACTTCCTCCAACAAAGACACACCCCCTAAGCCCCCTCAAACAGCACCAACAGGGGACCAAGTATTCAATTGCCAGATGTCATGGGGACAGCCTCATTCGAACCACTACAGCTTTTTCCATGGTCATCTTAACCTGGGTGCTATAAGATGATATAAACTCTTTCCTCCCAAATTGCTCTTGGCCATGGTGTTTATCACGGAAACCAAACTAAGACGTGTCATGGAGGAGGGCTGGAGAACTGACTCAAGGGTTAGGAGCATGTACTGTTTGCTCTTCCTGGGGACCTTAGTTCCCAGCATCCATGTCCGGTGGCTCACAACCACCTGTAACTTTAGTTCCAGGGGGACCTGTCACCTCTGGCCTCCTAGGGCACTGAGCTCATGTACACATACCACATACACACATACACCTAATTACAATTCATTTTTAAAGAAACTTCTTAGATAGAAAAAGAAAGGAAGCTATCAAGATGCCTCAGCAAGTAGAAGGCACCTGCCAGCAAGCCTCATGACCTTAGTTTGATCCTCAGGACCCACATGGTAGAAGGAGACAGATGACTCTCATATAAATTGTCCTTCACCCTCCACTCACATGACAAGGTATGTGCACACATACACACATAAACAAATAAATGTCAAAAAACTAAACAATAAGAAAGGTCACGGATGAATTTTACAGCCTCCTTAGCCAGGTGGATCCCAAATCACAAGGATTATAAGTTGTAAAGTCTTAAATCCAGCCCTCTCTCATCAGTAAAGAGTAAAGACTAGATATCTGCATATTATCATTACTGCCCCCCCTGCCCATTCCCCCACACCCAGAAGATCTACAGACTGTGAAATCCCTAGTTCTGAGATTTTAGCTTCTGAGATTTTAGCTTCATTGATTCAGGGGCTTCAAGTCAGCAACCTCGGTCTTTCTTTACCAGAAGCATCTATCTTATCTTAACTCCAAAGAGGGACTGTTTATGGCGGCAGGAGGGAGCTAGGTCTGTGGGAGGCTAACTTAGGTGACAGAAGTGCACTGTGAGTTCTGCATCCAACAACAATGGTGCAGATCCTATCTATGGGCTAACCTCCGCACAATTATAAACCCAGAACCAAATGCAAAAACATCTGTCTGGAGGTGTTAAAGAGCAATCGGAAACAGACAAAGCCTGAACTTCTCTCTATCCTTGAAAGAAGGCACCGGCTGGTGAGACTGAGTTTAGTGGGAAAGAATTTGGAGTTTGGGTTTTGTGACGTTCACTTCCAGTTAGTATAAAAACCAGCTTTCCATCTACTGACTGATAATCAAATAATTAAATTGTGGCCTGCCTACACAATGATATGGTATGGCTTGTTCTTGTTTGTTAAAGACCTTGAGTGCGGCATTAAGTTATTTGTTTGAGCTGTCCTTGCTGCTGCTGCTCATCTTCCTCTGCCCCCTGCTCCTCTGCCTCCTCCTGCTGGAGCTCCTATTCCTACTTGTCCCTTTCTCCTCCTCCTTTTTCTTTTACATATGTGTGTTTTACCTGAACATGTGTCTGTGCGCCACATGCATGCCTGATGCCCAAACAAGCAAGAAGAGGGAGTTGGATTCCCTGGGACTGGAGTTACAGTGTGAGCCACTCTGTGGGCTGGGAATCAAACTCTGGTCCTGTGCAAAAGCAGCAAGTCCTCCTAACGGCTGCGCTAGCTCTCCCGCTCCTCTCTGCTTTTCATGTAAGCACCCGTAGCAATAAACCTCCATCGTAGAGCTCCCTTCACTGTGTCCAGTCAGTTCTGGTAGGCTGTGCTGCTGTCTCCACTTGATTCTAGGGGGCTTTTAAGATTCCCTCCTTGGCTTTTTTCAATGACCCACTAATTGTTGAAATTCATGTTGTTCAAATATCGCGTGCTTATATGCTTTCTGTAGTTCTCTTGGCTTCTGCTTTCTTCTTTCATGTCATTGTGTTCCGATAAGATATAAGATATTGGACACACACACACACACTCAAAAGAAAAACAATGGGCAGTCAAAATGGCTCATCTAGTAAAGACACTTGCAGACAACCCTAATTATCTGAGTTTGATCCCTGGGACCCATAGGCAGAAGAAGAGAACCAACTCCCCCAAATTGTCCTCTGGCCTCCCCATACACACTGTGGCACCTGTGCAATGCACACACTCACACACACTCAGAAAGAAAGACAGAGACAGAAAGATATTTGTAAAAACTATGAACACACAAAGAACAAATAATCCAGTCAACAAATGGCCAAATATGCTTAAATAGATGCTTCAAATGAAGGACAATTAGCCAATAGCTATATGGAAAAAAAGCTTAGCCTCTTTAGCTATCAGAGAAATACAAGTCAAAACTAAATAGAAATTCCACCTCACCTCAATCCAAGTGGCTATCAACAAGAAAACACCAACTAAGAGACTCTGGCAATCATGCAGGGACAAGGAGATCTGTTTGCTGCTAGCAGGGATGTAAGTCAGTCCAGCCACGTGGAGGACCCTCAAAACACTAAGACTAATTACTATATAATCTGAGTGTACCACTGCAAGGTACATGCCTGAAGGAACTAGAGTCAGCTGGCAATAGGGATGCTGGTACGCCTTCATTCACCACAGCACTATTCTCAATAGCCAAAGCTACAGAACCAGCTATGCCCAACAGTGAGCAAAACAATGCATAGGGAAGACGTGGTGTGTACCCTGTGGACTATTAGTCAAGCATAAAGAAGAAAGGAATTGCGTTGATGGTGGAATTAGAGGATATCGTGCTGAGTGAAACAAGCCAGGCTCAGAAAGACAAGGATCACATTTCTCTCCTAGGTAATCAAGGAGTAGACAGCGTTCAAAAGAATGGAGACTCTTTGTGAGGTTAAGGAGGGAGTATGAGAGAGTTATATGAGTGTGAATACAGTCAAAGGACATTAAATGTATGTATGGAAGTGTGACAAAACCCATTATTTTGCCAGTAATAACGGTTTTTTTTTTCAAGATAAAAAAGGAGAAATGAGCTGCTGGATCTAAATGTTCTTTTAAAAATAGGATAGCCAAAATTAAAAACTCAGTGTATGGACTCAGGAACGAAACAAAGAGTAAATGAAGGCAGAGCTATAAAAAAAAGTAGCCAATCTAGACAAAAGATGTAAAAATACCCTGACAAAAAGGGAGAGGGCCTTCAGTTTGATCTCCATCTTAAGAAATAAAAATAAGAAAGACGCAAACTGTATTATCTCTTAAATGGTGGACAGTTGGGGTGAGATCCGTGGTAGGACCCTGGCATACAGTGCACCAGCCCCTAGGTTTGATACTGGCCAAGCTAAGTGACAAATTCATTTGCAAAAATTACTAAATATATGGGCAACGCACTGTCAATGCCCTTGACCTAAACAACACTTATAAATATTCTCGAACAACTACTAAGGACCAGCTTGAGCCACAATGCAAATTCCAGGTTACCCTGATCTATACAGCAAGACCTGTCTCAAAAACCAAAAGAAAAACAGAAAAGAAAAGAAGCAGGGTGAAGTGGCGGACATCTTTAATCCCAGCACTTGGGAGGCAGAGGCAGGAGGATCTCTATGAGTTTGAGACCAGTCCAGTCTACAGAGTCAGTTCCAGGACAGCCAGAGATACATAGACAAACCCTGTCTGGAAAAACAAAACTGGAAAATAAATAAATAAATAAATGAGAACAAAACAAAACCTATAAAGAGAAATGAATATTATGAATATTAGAAATAAAAGGTGACACCAATGTAGATTCCACAAGCAATAAAAGCCCATTAAAGGATATTGGCAACAATATTTTCTTAACATATTAGAAAATCACAGGCAAACTCCCAGGCTATAAGTATGTAAATAGCACACAGTCGTGCTAGCTCATATACAAGAAGGCAGAGCACTGCAGAACAAAGTCTTGTATTCAGAGGGGTCCAGATCAGTCTGTAGCAACTGTAATGATTTAGACTTCAAATGACTACCACAGGACTAGTGCCAAGAATGATGTCAAGGAATTCAGATTCAAAATTTGTTATTGCTGGCTGCCGAGTAAACATTTGCTTTACATACTGTGGTAGTTTGAATGTCATTGGCCCTCATAATCCCTCAATCCCATAATCTCATAGAGAGTGGCATTATTAGGAGGCTTTGCTGGAGTGGGTATGGCCTTGTTGGAGGCAGTGTGTCGCTGCAGAGGCAGGCTTTGAGGTCTTATACACTCAGGATACTGCCCAGTGTGTCAGTCCATTTCCTGTTGCTTGCAAGACAGGATACTCTGGCGCCATGTCTGCCTGCATGCCACCATGCTCCCCACCATGACAGACTGAACTTCTGAACTGTAAGCGAGCCCCCTCAATTAAGTGTTTGCCTTATAAGAGTTTCTGTGGTCATGGTATCTCTTCATAGCAATAGTAAACACTAACGAAGACATAGACTAATTCAGAGTTATCTGGGATGGTGAGATAGGGCAGCAGTGACCATGCTTGCTGTCAACCCTGACAGCCTAAGTTGGATCCCCAGAATTCACATGGGAAAAGGAGAAAACTGACTCCTACAAGTTGTCCTTTGACCTCCATGAATACACACTCATGCCCCCATGTGGACACGGGCATACGGGCACGCGCGCGCACGCACACACACACACACACACACACACACACACACACACACACACGATAAATAAATAAATTCATTTTGTTAACTGAAAAAAATAACATGAGCTACTAGGCCACTGAAAGGGAAATGTCCATTCTTTCTGAGACAGCTCACAGCTACTATCTTAATCAATAAAGCAATCACTTCAATCAGTCTAAAAGGGGGTTGCAATCCCCAAGGATAATCAAAACCTCTGTTGGTTTAATCAAAGTATTTTCTACCTTTTCATTACAAAGAACTAAATTGAGGGCTGAGACAATGGCTCTGTTGGTAAAGTGCTTGCCAAACAAACATGAGGACTTGAGTTCAGATCTCCGGCACTGGGCAAAGCATGGGGCAGGGTGGTGCACTTGGGAAACAGGGGCAGGTGAACCTCTGTGAGTTCAAGGCCAGCCTGGTCTATATAAGAAGTTCCAGGCCATCCAGGAACTCCAAGACCAAAAGTGACAGTGAGCATTTGTTATGCCAGCACTGGGGAAGCAGGGACACTCAGTTCTTTGGATCTTACTGGTCGCCACCTTAGCCAAATGCAGGAGCCCCGGGTTCAGTGAGAGATCCTGTCTCAAAAAATAGAGAGCTGGAGAGATAGCTCAGCAGGTAAAGGCACTTGCCACCAAACCTGGGGGCCTGAGTTCGATCCCCAGGAGGATCCACACAGTGAAAGGAGAGAACTGACCCCCAAGTGTTGTCTTCTGACTGCTACATACCCCACCATACAGTTAATTAAGTAAAATGTAGTAAAAATAGTTTTTGAGACAGAGCCTCATTATGTAGCCATGCTGGCCTAGAAAATCAATATGTAGATCAGGGTAGCCTTGAACTCACAGAACTCTGCCTGCCTCTCCTCCCAAGTATAGGGATTAAAGGTGTGTACCAACAAACCCAGCAAAAAATTGTTAACGAATTAATTAAAATGGAGACTCAAGACACCTTGTGGAAGTCTTCACACACACACACACACACACACACACACACACACACACGTGTATCACACATATATATATACAACTCCCCCAACAAAAATAATGAAATTAATGGGTCTTGGAAGAGGGCTTAACGGTTACACTGCTTGTTGCATAAGGATAAAGTTTTGAGTTTTGACTCACCCAGAACCCAGGTAAGAAAGCCAGGCATGTCTGCACATACCTATAATCCCGTTGTTTTAGTTAGGGTGTCTATTGCTTCGACAAAACACCATGACCAAAGTGCAAGTTGGGAAGGAAAGGGTTTATTGGGCTTACCCTTCCTTGTTATAGACCATCACTGAAGGAAGCCAGGACAGGAACTCAAACAGGGCAGGAACCTGGAGGTAGGAGCTGAGGCAGAGGCCATGGAGGATGCTGTTTAATGGCTCCCTCCACTGGCTTGCTCAACCTGCTTTCTTATAGATCCCAGGACTACCATCACAATGGCTGGGCCCTCCCCCATCAATCACTAGTTAAGAAAATACCTTAGAGCCAACTCTTATGGAGGCGTTGTCTCAATTGAGGTTCCCTCCTTTCAGATGAGTCTAGTTTGTGCAAGTCAACGTCAGACTAGCCAGCACACCAGTGCTGAGGGTGGGAAAGAGAGGAGACCAAAAGATTGCCAGGAGTTGGTGGTTGCCAGCCTAGCCAAAAAAGCTGTGAGCTCCAGGTTCAGTGAGGGACCCTGTCTTGAGCAAATAAGGCATACAGAAATAGGGGGACACCCGACATCTTCCTCTGGCCTACACACATGTGCACATCCACACACATGGGCACACACACACCACACACACTTGCACACACACACACACACACACAAACGAAGTGAAACAGCACTGATGCTGAATCTGTGTAGTTACAGTTGCGTTTCTATGTGGCGTGTAGATTGGAGTGGAGCATGTGCGAGCATTTCCCCCTGGAAGAAACACAGCAAGTGCAGAGGCCTATGGTTTCTCAGGAGCTGAGGTGGATTCCCTGAAGGCCGTCTGTGAGTACTGTACCTTCACACTGCGGGAATCCAATCTGGGACAAGATCTGCTTCAAGCTCAGTTTCTTGCTCTTAAGTCCGTGCAGCTGAAGCCATTGTTCAGATGAAATGAGACTCTGCTCAGCCATGCCTGCCTTGGTGGTGTTCTGTCCCTCCAGCCTCTGTGGCTATTGCTCCTGGACAATGGAGGGAGATTCCTACATCTTTAAGTCAAGACTGGAGTCACAAGGGACCTCCTGCAAGGAAAATTGTCAAGCTCAATACTCCTGAAAACATGGCGGGGTAGGGGTCTAACTAACATCAACATCACCATTGACTTACTATAAAACATAGTACAGTCATGAAGTAGAATTTTATTTACCCATTAAAATTACAGTATGGATGCATACTACCAGGTGGGATCCACAAATTACATATCTACATATATGTGTGCTGCGAAGCATCTAGAAAGATAAATACCGATGGGTCTATAGTAGAAGTGTGTGAAGTTTTTTTTCCATAGTGTTTCAGTTTTTGCATTATTTGAACATTTCTAAAATGGTATTTACTTTTATAATTAGAAAAATACGGGGCTCTTCCATTTTGGAAAATAAACACAGCCCCTGGAAGCCACATTACACATCCGCATGCTAATTATATTCACACAGAATATGTTGAACTCGAGGATAAAGAAGGTTTAAAAAAAAACCCTGCTATTGACTAGCTAACTGGGCGATGGCAGACAGCAACTCAACTCCACTGGAACACACAGATCTACATCCCGAATGCTTTGTCTTCTAGGGCTTCACTCTAAAATTGGACTTCATCATTCTGCCTCGTGGAACCAGCTGCTCTGGGATCAACTGGACTCAAAGCAATATGCAGCATATTAAACTCATCTCAACTGGCCTAAATATAGCTAGTGTACACAAGAGGGAGAGACTGCCTAAACTGTAATACAATCTTAACCTGCTCACCACAACTGTGCAGGACCTAAGACTGGGAGCAAGTATAACCTTGTAAGGCCAGAGTTCACCAATGTCAATAACTGGGTAGCAGCTAGAAGGTTCTAACTACTTCATGTCCAGTGTTCAGTGTTTAAAAACTGTTTCCCAAGACGGTGAAGCCTTTCATTAACAAATAGATGTCCCTTTCCAGTTTCTAAAACTGGATTTCTAGGGACTGGGGAGATGGTTACTCATCCTGAGGGCGGAAGTTCAGACCCTAACACCCTTGTGACAAGCCAAGGTTGTTTCCCATCATCCTCACTTACGCTCATAGACACACACACACAGATGTGTGCCCATGTGAAGATAAATCTTGTTAACATAAATATAAATAAAAACAATACAAATAAAAATAATATAAATAAAAAACAAATGAAACTCAACTTCTTCAAAATCTTAGTGTTATGACATGGAAATTTAGTCAAGCACAAAAATCAGGTGGCCCTAAGCCAGGTATGTTTTGAAAAAAGAAGTTAGAAGCATGAACAGCAAACACTTAATGTTATGACACATACATTCCTGTAACAACCTTATGAGGTGGAGGGCTCAGTGGTGAAAATGTTCTGCTCCTCCAGGGGACCTGAGTTCGGCTCCCAGCATCCACACTGGACGGTTCACAACTGCCTTCAGCTTCAGCTCTAAGGGATCTGACACCTTCTTCTAGCCTCCAAGAGCACCGCACACATGCCCACACTCTGACCCATCTGTATGCACGCAATATTTCATCTAAATTTTAATAAAGCCAATCCAAAACAACCTTACAGGAGAAATAAGACTGTTTTTCTCATGTTACTAACGAGGAAACAAAGACAGGGAGGGTTAACAGACTGGCTCACAATCTCACAGCTAGTAGGAGAGCTGACTAAGAGTCTGGTGTAGGCCCTTCAGCTCTAGAATCTGTGGTCTCTGACTTTTATTATGGTAGGAACAAACACCGGCAGCAGCTTCCATTTGTCAATCAGCCTTTAGGCTGAGCCCTTCCTCTCGAACCCTCTTACAGATTGCTCATGAGCACAGCAGTTACACAGTGTTAACACCCTGCTTGTAGCTGAGGAATTGGAAGCCTTGAGAAATTCAAGCGCTTTTTCACAGGTTCTGTCATAGTCAGTGAGCAATGGGACCAGAATCCAAAGCCATTTCTTAGCCATCTTGTTATCATTAGAGCCAAGTGCATTCTGGTATGGCTTCCCCTGTCCTTAGGCAGAGGGCACTAACCTTGGTTGTCACGACACAGGCTCAGCTCTCAAGCGGTGAAAGATAATGATTCCATGTCAAGTTTTCTGTGGATTTGTGCTATCCATAGAGGGTCACTTCTAATAGTCTACAAATCCATACAGTGGGGGAGGCTCTTGCCTTGTGAGAACAAGGTTACAAGACTCATTTTGATGGATATGTGACAAGTTGACCTGAAGAGCATCATGATGGGGGGAGGGGGTGGTAGAATCAAACTTCAGTGTGAGCCACGCTAGCACTCAGGAGAATGAGGCAGGAGGATTGAGATTTGGGTGACAGCTGAGATACATAATGAAACTCTGTCTCAAGATCAAAACGAAAATCAAACAAAAAATTTCTAACAAACTTCAGCATAAGCCTGTCCTGTAACTATAGCAACTGACTTTGTCCCTCTAGAATAACACACCTGCATGACACAGTAACCCGGAGGCCAAGAACAAAGGTGCCAAAGTTTGTATATATAAGTGTATGTATAAGCACTTAATAATCAGAAAGAGCTAATGTAAAAATTATCTAAATATCTAAAAGTTGTCATTGAAGTAACTGCTTTTGTTTTGTGATACACTTTTACTCCAAGCACTTTTTATGTGTGTGTGTGCACGATGTATGGTGTCTGTGTGTGAATGCATTTGTGTATGTGTGAATGAATATGGAAACCAGAGGCCAAAGTTGGTGCCTTCATAAATCACTCTCCACCTTATTGTTTGAGCCAGGGTCTCTCACTGGGCCTGGAGTTCACCAACTGGCTAGACTGGCTAGCCATGAAACTCCAGGAATCCTCCTATCTCTGCCTCCCAAGGCGGGAATTGCAGGTGGTGTCACTGCATATGGTTTTTTTAAATGGGCACTGAGAATCCAAACTCAGATGCTTATCTCCCAACAGCACTGTACTAAATGAGCCACCTCCCTAATTCTTCTAAGAATTTTTTCTAATCTCTACTATCCAATCATGCTGGGCTGTGAATAAATCAGAGAGCATGGAAACAAGTACAGACCAATATGCCTTTGGAGATCTATCCACAGAGAGGGCAGCTGAAGATCTTGTCTTTGATGTTCCTATAGAAACAAGAGACGCTAAGAAGAATGACCTGGTAGTTTCATCAAGTGCAGCTAATCTCTCACTTCCCAGAGACACACCACCTCCTCCATTCCTCTCACTGGGGAGGTAGTGACTTGCCTTAGGTTTTCAAGGGAGGGCCTTCTCTACAATCCACCCTAAAAGGTTTCGTCGCAGACATTTACAACCTTAAAGGCTGTAGGAAGAGACACACACTTGGTTTTTAAGCCAAGGGTAACATTCTTTAATTTGCTTGGCTCCACCTTTCTTACAACACATGTCCCAGCCTCTTTGGAGACTCTGATGACTTCCTGTAAAGTTAATTTTTTACAAGGTGTGACTGGCTCTGTCTGATCTGAGAAGCTGTGTGAGTCATTTTGGACTCAGATCTTCACCCTGGGGTTTTATAGCCTGAGATACCTGGAGGGAAAGGGCTGGAAAGTAAAACTGAGCCAGAGAAAGTGAGCAAAGGAGAGCAGGTACCTCCCAGGGGAGGGGATGACGGGTTGTCTGTCAGAGCAAGGAAGCCTGCCAGGGCACAGGCCTACCAAATGCCCACCACACACAGCCCACCCGCTTTCCTCTCCATGCTGATTGCCATGGTCCCATGTGGAGCCTTAACCTCCAGCGCCTGTGTCAAGAGTGCCTTCCTCTAAGACTGCTCTGAGCAACCCTCAAAAGCCTACCTTCTGAAAAATGTGTGTTGTCTGTCTCTCTGGGTGTATTATATATGTGTGTATGTATTTATGTATGTATGTATGTATGCCACCTGTGTGCCGATGTCCTTGGAAACCCTGGAGCTAGAATTACAGACCAAGAACCAAAATTGGGTTCTCTGTAAGAGTAGAAACTCTTTTTCAACCATTGAGCCACCTCCCCAGCTCCCAAAGCCTAGCTTTTACTTTGAGGCTTCATCCCTGTGGCCTCAGACACAGGTGTGTCCCCTCTAGACCAAACAGAAGCTTGATGGCTACAGGGAAAGACTAAACATGAATGTGGTCAGAGTAGCATGCTCTACGTATAGTATTGAGACGAGCTCAGTCACAGCAACTGAGAAAATCCTGATTGTCTTCAAACAAGGCAAAGGTTCTAGGAAAGTTATAATCAGGAAATAGCTACCCCTTTAAACATAGGCACACTGTTTTCTGGGTGTGACTATGCTATTTGTTTAGTATGATTACTCAGGAGTTTCCTCTGAGGCAGGGAAGCCCAGAAATCAGAATATATCACTGATGAGCACAGCTCTACAATGTGGAATAATAGGATTTTTGTTGGTTTGGTTTTTGATGTTTTGAGACAGGGTCTGACTATGTAGCTCAGGCCAACCTTGAACTTGTGACACCCCCTGCCACAGCCTCCTGAGGGATGGGATTGCAAGCATATACTACCACCTCCAGCTAGCCTCAGTTTTTAAAATTGGAATTGTCTAACGAGCCATAGAGTTCAGAGAAAAAGGATTTCCCGAGTATAGGAAGCAATCGGAAGCCTGTGCTGAAGCCATGGTCAGGCATAGCTCCTGGGAAAACAGAAAGATGAAGGTGACCAAAACCTGTAATCCCAACAATTGAGAGCCTGAAGCAAAGGGACTGTGAGCTTGAAGTCTGCCTAGGGCTAAACACACACTGTGCTCACCTGTGCACATACATATACACATGTACATATACACATACACACACACACACACACACACACACACACACACACACACACACACACACGAATCCAAATGCCCCAACCAAAAGAAGAAAGGACCCTTTTGTGTCTGCCACCGGTCTTCTCCCAATAGTGAGCCACAGATACCCATCACTGCCCATGCCCTTGATGAGAGTCTAAGTTAGACTCCATTAATTCAGGTTAGTACCTTGGTAAACTTTTTGATAAAAACCTCTAAATTTTCTTTATCTTTGCTAGTTTAAAAAAACAAAACAAAACAAAAAACCGGAAATCTGGGCTGGGGTGAAGGGGTTATGTTGTGGGAGTTCTGAACTCTGATTCTTTTGGGAAGAAAGGAAGCTAGGATGATGTTTCATGATGTATCCTATAACAGTTCTTAACAGCCTCTCCCGACCCCATCTTTCTGTCCTTAAAAGGCAAAGCTAGGCTGAGACCATGAGCAGAGTTAAGGAGATTGAAATGGCCTGTCCCGCTGTTGAGAGATCAGGACTAAGAACTGAACATTCAAGCGTCAGAGTGCTTCAGTGGGGTAGGTCATCGATGAGAAGACAGGAAATGGAGCGCTCCCAAGATGAGAGGAATTAATACACGAAGTCAAATGTCCGTATTAAAAAGAGGAAGTAATGTGTGGGTGAGACCCCCAGAAGAATTTAATTGGAGGCAAATAGAGGCTCTCCCCACACTAAAAGCAGCAAACAGCTTTCGCTCAAGAAGATCGCTTTGGATTCGGGCTTTCAGTTCTGATCATTGCTTCTTAGAAACAAGTTTCTAATATACTGATTTGTGTGCTACATCCTCCGGTGACTGTTAGCCTGTGGATAGACAGGCATTATGGGGCTTGTTATCCATCAAGTGACCGAGGTTCTGCAGGGAGTGAGGATGGCCAAAGCCCTCTGTGTAAGAAGAGCTCACACAATGTCTGCGACCCTGACTCTGAAACCCAGCTATCCTGACCACTGTGCTTTCCCAGCAGAAAGCAAGGTCCAGTTTGGAAACTGCAAACTTGTTTTTCCCTACACAACCGGTTGGAAACCTGGAAGGTTCTGGTCTGGAAGGAAGGTATCCCACACTTACTAGGAAATCTTTCCGTTGCAAAGCCAGGCGGCTCGCGTTCAGCAGCGTCCCTCCCACCCTCCAGGGCCTCGCTGCCCGGAGCAGGAGGGCGCAGCCAACATCCCACTGCTGGGCAAGGCTGGGACTCCCACAGGAGCTGGCGAAGGGTCCCGGTCCCAGGGCGCAGGGTTGCAGGAGTCCAGTCTCTGTTGACAACCGCACCGCCACGGTTGCTAGGACACCGCCAATCGCGGCGTGGCTCGGCATCCGGCTCCGCCCACCGCTGCACCCTGAAGGAGTAAAGAGGAGCTGGGGGCTTCAATGAAGGTACCTGATACTAGTGTTGCGAACCCAACAGGGAAGATTAGGGGCCTAAGGCTCATCCTCTACGACTGGCCCTGAGAAAGTTGACAGTGCTGAATATTAAGAAATAGGTTAACAAACAAATACAAAGATGGGCAGAAATGCAGGCAGGATGGAGCTAAGGGAAGAAGACGGGTGATGTTGCCAGATGAAGGAAGTCTATTCTCTCACTTTACTTCAGGCAGATCTCCACAGCTTGCGGCTTTTGATTTCCCCCTAGGTGTTATGAAGAGATTTTCGTTACATGGTCGAGGGAAAGAAACATGGAGTTGGAGCAGTTCCTTACAGGAGCTCAGTTTACAGGGAGCAGAGACAGAAGGGGTCGTCAGAAGAGCGTTCACAGTTTTGCTCTGTTACAACTCTGGATGCAAGGGCTGCCATGATCAAAAAAAAATTGTGAATGAAAACTCCGGAAAAGACTCTGTGTCTGCACAGGTTGATTGACTGATTAGGTTTTCAGTTCTGCAGAGAGATTGGAATGTTGCAAGTCTAGAAGCTAGTTACCTTATCTTGGGCTAGTTCTAGCCCTCAGGGACAGCCATTCCTTGCCACATGTGTCGGAACTAACCCTCATGATTAACAGATAGAAATCTTTTAGAACCTATTAACTTAGCAGACAACCTGTCTCCACCAACCCAAAGCTAAGAATGTCACATAGCATCTTGTGCCTTTAGGAAAACTTTTCCATCTTTCTGTACCTGCCTCTCTGGTGTACTCTCCAGTGTATTTTAAATTCACCTTGATTTATGAAGTTCTTCAGTATAACTAGAAAAGCTTCATGAAACTGTTTCCACTTTGGAACTTGGAACTTGGGGTAACCTAAATCTGTATTCCCAGGCCATTGCCACTCAGAATGGCTCCATAATAAACTCACTCTCACTCCTTTTAAGAAGAGTGCTGTGGTTTTTGACTATATACTTAACGCTTCTTTAGTCTTGACTTACAAGCCTACAAATGGCTCAACATGAACACTCAAAATTGTGCTTGTGAAAATCTGTCAATGATAGATTCCACTAGCAAGTATTGCCTTAGTGTTTGGACATTAAATTAGGTTTTGGATTTCAAGACTGAAGAGCTGGCCAGATCATTTGTTGAGTTTTTATAAACATATTGTTAATCCTACTGGTTGAGAATAAGACTACTACCACAATGTAAAGCCAAATTTGAAGCAAGCTTTAATTGGTGGATGGACTCTGGCCAGGTCTCTGGGTTTCCAGAAAATGGCCACAAGTCACATTTTTCAGAGGCCTAAAAAGGCAAGCCCACACGATCACCGTGTTTCTCATTGGATCCAATCAGGGGCAAGCGTGCATCCTGACATATTTCCTGACACGTACCTTCCACCCACTTGTGATCAAGCACACCTGGCCTAGTTGTGTCAAACAAACCTGTTTAGGGGAGTGAATATATGGCTTGTTACCTTCCATAAACCATAGCCTCCAGTATTTCAGGAATTATCTGTCCTCGGGCAAGGGTCTTACAGACTAGAGGGCATTTCTGTTTCATGGATCTCTTAGGAAGAGTAATTGAAACTTAAAATACAACTTTGGTTCTCACGATACATGCATACATGGTTGTTTGTGTGTGTGTGTGTGTGTGTGTGTGTGTGTGTGTGGTAGTGAGTGTGTTGTAAAAGTCAGAGAACAACTTGTGGAAATTGGTTCTTTTCTTCTAGCATATGTTTTGGGGGATTGCCAAGTTTGATAGCAAGCATCTTTACCTACCACGCCACATTTCTCTTGGTTTTTGGGTCAAAGATTTAATAAAAGACAACTAATCTTAGAAATAATTCTGTCTCCAACAGAGAAATCTGCTGCATCCTCAGGGGTTCATTTTTTCTTCATTCTTTTATTGCCTTAGTAATTTAAAAAGTATTGAAAGGTTTGATCCTTAATCACAAATCATCCTGTGGAATTATTAGATCACATACCCTTGGCTACACAAATAACAGCATCTATTCACACCACCAAAACCCAAACAAAGCCAAACAACTTTCATCAGCCACATTTGCCAATGCCAGGATTTTCCTGCTGTCCAGGCCCTGCCAGGGCCATGGGGGTGACAAAGAACAGTTAGCTCGGTGTCCTCACACAGTAGTCTCACCAAGCAGACCCACTTCCCCTCCACCCACCCCATTCTTGCTCCCTTTGCTGGGACACTTGCCATAGCCACACAAGTCCCTGTGGTTGACTGGGACCCCCTCAGACTTACACGACTATAACGTATGTTCTAGTGAAAACGGTAGACGCTCCTTAAATTGCAGAAAGCCAAAGGTGGAAAAGTTCAAGGTCATTTTGAATACTGTTTTGGTGCCTGCAGTCTGGCTGGCTACAGGTGGGTTGTGTCTCTTTTGTTTGGTGAGTGATTTGGGACATGATAGTCCTCAATAGTGACACGTCTTTGCTCTGAACTATGACAGGTTTATTTTGAAAATAACTGGTAGCCTGCCTTCAACCAGCAATTGACTGTTGTCATGATATACCTATCCTGAAATAACATACCTAACCTGCTGAGTTCACCATCCAAAGTCCGGAATACACTTTCAGATCATCCTTTTAACCTGCTGCTCCCAGTCCCAGTCCTCCAAGAGAGACTAACCCTTAGAGGTCTCTCCCTGTGAACAGAGATGCCTTCACTCTGGCCGCCCTGCTCATGTGGATTGGCACAGCTTGGGAATAGCAACACACTGGCTCCTGCAGAGAAGTCCTCCCTTGGAAACTCTGGCCCCAGTCGATGTGCTCCACCTGCCCAACCTCAGAGCACGACTCTGAGTAAGTACCAAACACTTGACAACTGCCTTCTGTCTGTGGTATCCCCTCCATTGTTATTTGACCTTTGAGTTGTTTACTTTTCAGGTTGAATGGCTTTCCTTTTTCTTTATACAAGTCTGTCCCTGACACCGCCTTTGAGTTTATGGCTATAATTAGAATCTGTGGTAGGGACAGGAGAATGATAAGTGAAATGAAGGGAGGAAGTTCAACTTTGCAAACCCAGAGAAAAAGGAAAATATAATTCCAGGGAATTAGGTGTATGTATGAGGAAGAAAGGGATGAAAATAGAAGCACTAATTCTGTAAAAGGGCACACAGCAACTGCATCAAGGAGCCATCCCTGCTGAATCTTTGCTAGAACTTTTGGTGAAGACACTTTGGTCATTGAAGATGGTCATGAGAGAGACGGCAGGGGTACGGGAGGGTGGAGCCCATTGGTGTATATACCTACTTCTCCATTTAAGAGGAGAGTCCAATCCCAATAAACCCACTGTTATAGATATGAAAATATCGTAAGTTGGGAGGAAATACATTTGATCTACCAAGATGACCAGAAAATGCAGTCTAGAGACATAGTTCACTGTGGGGTGTTGGATTCCTTTTATGATGGTGGGGTTGGCTGGCTGTGAGCTGCAGTTAGTTCTCTCTGTTGCTGTCTGGCTCTTGAAGGAAAGCCCAAGAAAAGGTTTGACTTTGTAATCCAAAGTTCAGCTCCTACTCAATGCATTCGACTTTTGCTGCACAGGAAAGTTGAAAACATCAAACTTCAAGCTTCATAAGTCTGGGAATGCCTGTGCTGCAATGTTGAGTTCAGTGTTTATTATTTGGGAAGAGAATGGATTCCAGGCTCTGGACAGCTCTTCTCTCAAGCAGAGCTCAAAGGCACACATCATCTTTCACAGTTACAATGTTCATTGCTACTTGAAGGAATTAGCATTATGAATAATGACTATAATTTGTTGAATGGCAAACAGCATTTTAATTACTTTGAATCCATTACTGTAAATGGAGTTGTAATTGGTCTAAATAATAAAAGCCTGGAGTCAGATATAGAGGAAAATGCTGAGATCAGAGAGAAGGAGCAAGCCAAAGCCACCTTTATCTCATTATCCTTCCTCTGACCAGTCATCTCACTTCCTGTCTCCACCCAGCCATCTTACTTCCTGTCTGTCTGTACAGACCTCCAGACCTCTGTGGTTAACTAGTGGCAAGCTCCATCCTCTGATCTTTAGACAAGCTTTATTTGTACAAGCAAGATATCATCACACATTACCTCCCTTAATACTGATAAAATTTCCATGGAGGGCTTGGGGGCAACATAATTATCCTAATTTTATAGAGAAAAAAGCTGAGACATAAGAATAAGCACATTTCTCCTTTTTATTGGTTTTCCTTTTGAGACAGGATCTCAGGCTATCCTTAACTTCATTATCTACCTCAAATAGCCTCAAATTCTAAAATCCCCCTTCCTCAGCTTCCAGAGTGCTGGCTACATTTCAATCTTTTTATTGTTTTTTTCTTCCTTTTTTTTATTTGAATTAGAAACAAGCTTGCTTTACACATCTATTCTAGTTCCCTCTCCCTCCCTTCCTCCCCTTCCCACCACCGACCCCCTATCCCATTCCCTTTCTGCTCCCCAGGGAGGGTGAGACCCTCCATGGAGGATCTTCAAAGTCCGTCACATCATTTGGAGCAGGGCCTAGACCCTCCCCCGTGTCTAGGCTGAGAGAGTATCCCTCTATGTGGAGTGGGCTCCTAAAGTCAATTCGTGTACTAGGGATAAATACCGATCCACTACCAGAAGTTCCATAGATTAACTAGACTTTCAAACTGACATCCTTGTTCAGGGAGTCTGGGACAGTACTATCTATGCTGGTTTCCAAGCTATCAGTCTGGGGTCCATGAGCTCCCCCTTGTTCAGGTCAACTGTTTCTGTGGGTTTCCCCAGCCTGATCTTGACCCCTTTGCTCATCACTCCCCTCTCTCTTCAACTCGTCAGTCTTAGACAACATGAAACAATTCTG